CATTGGATAAAATAAATTGAATAGCAAAGCTTATCTTGCCAAAGACAAGACTGCTAAGATGATGGTCCCATTCATTAGATATCTATCTGAGTCCAGTACAAACCTGGGCAGGTTATTTCCACAGAACTTGCCTTTACATGTATGTGTTATCGATACATCAGAGGAAATTTGTAAAGTAGAATGACAGTTCCTCCTCTTGTACTATCATTTTTGCCTTTGATCTCTTTGTATGTGGGTTTATTTGTTTCCTTGTGATTTATATCATTTTCAGGGAGAAAAAGTTTTTGTAGGTTCTTTTTTATACATAATATACATAATATGATATTTATCATTTTAGCCTTTCCTAAATGTTCAATTCAGTGGCATTAAATACATTCACAGTGTTGCATAACCATAACCACATCTATACCCATAACTTTTTCATCATCCCCAATGAAACGTCTGTACCAATTAAATAACAACTCCTTTCCTCTTTACCTCCAACCATGGAGACATCTACTCTCTGTTTCTATGGGCTGGCCTATTCTAGGTACTTCATATAAGTAGAATCATACAGTATTTGTTGTGGCTCATAATATTTTCATAGTTCATCCATGTTGTAGCATGTATCTGGATTCTGTTCCTTTCTAAGGCTGAGTAACATCCTATTACACCTGTGTAGTGCATTCTGTTTACCCATTCATCTGTTGACAGACACTTGGGTTGTTTTCAACCTTTTGGCCATTACGAATAATTTTGCCGTGAACACCGTTGTACAAATATCTGTTTGAGTCCCTGCTTTCAATCCCCTTTTGGATAAACATCTAGGAGTTGAAGTACTGGGTCATATGGTAGTTCTATGTTTAAAAAGGTAGGGTCTTTTTTTTTTTTTCTTTTTCCCTAGTTCTAAATTTTGGAGCAAGACCAAGGCTAATTTCTCTTTCTCTGAATATTCTTTAAGCATTTGAAAATAGCTATGATGTCCTTTCTAAGTCTTCTCTTGTCTAAGCTAAAAATTCCAAGTGATGTAACCTGTTTTTTTAGAACTCAAATGAAGATCTTCTATCAACCCCAGCCACATTTCATGTCATTACTTTCATCACTTAGTTCATGCTATGGGGATATCCAAATAACTTGTTCTGGGATCCAGTGCATTAGACGCCTTTCCCAAGTTTATGTTTCCTACCTTTGAGATACACTGGGAAAACATTTAAGAATTATAAAAGCAAACGTCATCTTTCTTTTCCACTTCATGAATAATCACAAAGTGGATGGTGAAGATAAAATTACTTAATCCATCTTTAAAATTTCTCACAGGGATCCATTAGAAGTATTCAACTTTTATTTTGTATTTTTAGAAAAAAGTGTTTTGTTGACATTGTATTAGCTGATTTGAATACCATGTCATAAGGTAGACCACTCTTGTACATAGTAGAAGTTCCATAAGACTTGTTGTAAGAACAAAGAATGGAAACGTTGGCTTTTTGTCGTTGGCTGTTTTTACTGAGACCAGACCGCTCTTGTTTTAAAGGCACTTGTGATTATTGTGGGGGCTGTTTTTATGTCCAAAGCTGTGACATCCCTTATTTCCATTACTGGGATTCTGCTAAATGTTGATCTAAGTTATGTTTGTGTCTAGTTTACTATACTGGTTAAAGAAGAAAAAGTAATATTCTACATACGATCTACTACATGTTTATAAGCTGCCTAGCTCTTAAAACTCAAATAAGAATATTTATGTAAGATATTTCTACCCCTAAAGCCCTAGTATGAAAATTCCTTTTCTTAAATATCCCCCTAGGTTCTTCTTCCACAACAGTTGTCTAGTTATTTTGGCATTTGCTCGGGTAACTCAAGAATCTTACAGAATGCCTGTGTGTTGGGTTGACCAAAGAGTTTAGTTAGAGGGTAGAGCTCCTGGTTGACCATTTCTTGTATTGAAGAAGAAAATTTTCTTTGGGAAATTAAACTTATGTGAAAATTTGTTATTGATGTTTTGTCATCCCAGGAAGTTTTAAACTTGCTGAAGATGTTAGTCTGTACACTCTGGTTATCCCATGGTTGATCTCATTTCTGAAAGGGTCATATTCCAATTACGGTTTTTTTACTCTTTAAACTTAATTTTACATACTCAGAATATTTTTAAGCATTAACAGAATAACTGTTTTGAGAATAGGATGTGCCTTTAGTTTCTCAGGTGTCACAGTTTTCCAAAACCTCACACAGCCAATTGACAAATCAGTAATATCCCCACAATTTGCAAGTTGCAGAACTTTGACCAGTTTAAAAAAAAAGAAAGAGCAATACATTAGGGGAGAAACATTTCAATTGTTCAGATAAATGTTTGTTGATTGTGTCATTTCATCCTACATTACCTATATTGATTTGGGATAAGATTAGTCATCCTGTGTTCATTTTTACTAAAAGGATTATGAGGAAAGTGACTAAGAAAGTGAACTTCCCAACTTGCTAATAGATTTCAACTTTAATTTCCCATTTTGGATATCCCCTGAGAACTAAATCACTCTGGAATTTGAATCTAATCCTGAGCTTTCTCCACGTGACAGCCGAGCAGTTGCGCCTTTCTCCCCTTGCCCTGGCTTTCTCATCCCCGTGATCCCATGATTGCTACTATTTTCAACTCTAAAGTAAGCTCGAGAAGAAACAACCTAAATGTAATGAGAAGTGGTAGTGATTTTACTCATTTTCCTCATCGAAAACAGTTGACAGCACTGTTGATCAATTTCTCATAGCTTGTTTGGCAAGCAATTGACTGCCTTTGCTAAATACTCTCCCTTAAATTACGGTTGCAATATTGTTCCCACCGAAAGAACTACAGTAACTTCTATTTTGTGCGTTTGCATGGGGTCTCCTTTTGTTCCCTCCACCCCTCCCACTCCAACAATTGAAAGTTGGCCAGCATCCCCATTAATCAAATGTTGGATAAAAGGTATTTGTTAAAAATAGTTTTGCTTTTTTGTGAAAATGGAAAAAATTTGAACAGATTAAGATTAAATAGCAGTGGAAGAGTCGGGTAGTTTGGCGAACAGAAAGCTGGAGTAGAGTTGATTTCCTGGCACTGCTTTCTTCGCAAAGAGAACAATTTTAATCAGTTACAAAAATATTTGTGATCCATATGTTCCTCTCTGCTCATTCCCATATGCCCATATTCCCTTTTATCTCGGTAGATGATGACTTTATGATTCAGGCATGCAAGAATAATACCTCGCTGACTTTAGAGCTCAGTGCTATTTCAAAACGTGTCCTGGTAATTACGCACACACATGTATCCAGGCTGTTCACGCTTTGAGTTGGTTACGTGAATATCAGTTTGTTCTTCCTTTTTCTTCATGGAAAGAATTATATCTTGCATCCACCTACTGGGGCTGGAATAATGCATCTAAGGCTTAGATTTGAAAACAGCATTGCCATTCACCTGCTGGATTAAATGCCACTGTACAAATATGAGGATCAGAGAAAAGAAGACAAAAAGATTGAGGTGATCGTTGATAACTTCATTTTCTTTGGGAAAAGGAAAACAGAATCCAAAAAGCATGTGGTAATTCCATCCATCACTGGTGCCTATTCTGAGACATATTAGATAATGGGCTGGTTACTTAAATAGATCTTAATTTTAAGACATGTTGACTTCTATTTAATATTGAGTGTTAGTCATAGTAGCCATGGTGAAACTGGGCAAAATTGAAAAATTAAAATGACTGTTGATTAGCGATCCATTTTTGTCCTCAATGCATGTTTGCTTATCTCTCATAGCTATATAATGTCTAACAACCAAAGAAACATACTGTAAAGCCAAATTGGCCATTCTGATAACGCAACAACAAAGCTAGAAATTATTGACTGTATTAGTGATCGCATTTTCAACAGTTGTTTCTCTCTTGCACAACAAATGGTGTTGTAATCCAATATGTTGTTAATATAGCCACAGCAAAATCCGGTGAGGAACCGGCTGTGCTCATTTAAACTTGGGAGGGGGGCAGCAACGGGGAGGCAGGGAGTGTTTTTCAACTACAGACAAAATAACTGAGATGCATTTAGTGTTTGCAAAGATGGATGTGTGATGGAAGAGGTGTGCATGCTGTTGGATTTAGCAGGTGTGCCCCAGGGTTGCAGCAGAAGGGAGAGATACCGCTTGGTTTTGGCAAATATTATTAGGAATCCGTCTCTGTGTTTGCATTCAAGCTATCTTTGCCGCTGCTCCTGTAGGAGTTGTGAGAAAAAGAAAGTGCACATTATAGCGTGGATTGTTTTCAACGGGCTCAAAGTTTGCAAATCTGTTGAATCCCTCTGACAGTCTTTCTATGCTGTCAAGCAGAATGCCCAGCTGGTGGTGGCAATCCTGATGGGGAGGGAGAGGAAGGGGGAGACTGTGTTCACTGCCCGACAACAATATTAGGAGTTCATCTTTCCATACTGTAAGCAGGGAGGAAAGAGCTCTCTCAGCCATGCCATTGTGAAAGTTTTCTTTTTTCTTTTTTTTTTTCACTTTTATAGATAATGCCCGTTAAATCGAAATCTTAAAATACACTTCATTAGGATAGCTTTCCTAAAGAAAGGAGTCTCAGAAATAGCAATAAAGTATATTATATTAACTTATAATTAAAACAAAAGCTTTGGTTAAAAAAGGAGGCAAGATTTTAGCTCATAGGTGATCTGGATTCTCATTGAGGCAAACACACAGGCTTGTTTTTTTTTTTTTTTTTAATATAAAGTGCGAGATTTCACTAAAAAAGGTTAAAATTGAAGTGAGTAATCTTCGGTGCATAATGCAATTGTTAATTTTAGCTCCCTGCGTGGGTGCCGCTCTGACTTGAACAGCCGGGCTGTAGCCTTCATTAGAGAAGAAGCAGGCAGCCCAAGACAGGTGGGGCTGGATCAAGCTGTGAACGTGATTTGCTGGAAGCTGGTCATTAGTGTTAGAAATCTGGTCTTATTTATTTGGTCCTTCACCCTGCCATGACTATTGCAATTATTATTATTGACTTTTCATCTTTTTTCAGGTTGACGATGTGTCAAACTGTGTAAGGGAATCGCATGGAGATGGGCATTCCGAACTGTTAATGGGGACATGGGACTCCAGTTGTCTCTGATCACTTGTGTGGATTTTCCCGGTGTAGAACGACAGAAGCCGCTAGTAAGTTGCCAAGACCTACAGCAGGAATTCTGCACGAAAGGTAAAGGCCTTGTTGTCCTGCTGTCATCTCATCTGTATTTTGTTATCATATAAATGTGCCTGTTGGCAGAGAAGAGGTCATTCAGTGTAACCAAAACAGACAGGATCTAGAGCAGGGACTCAATTGGCTCACAGTTTATAAAATTAGAGCTCAATTTGTTCATTCCATTTTAAATCTAGTCACAATCTGCTTTTATATGGAAATGCTTTGAAGACAGAGTTAGGGCAACAGACGTCCATCTCCTCCTCCCCCTTCCCAATACCTTGAGAAACAAGCTGTTTGCTGTGGAGAAACAGAACCGTTGTTAACTACACACAGAACCCCTCCAGTGTCACTGAAATATGAGGAATCTATCTGAATACACTGGATGGGATGTCCTCAGATCTCCCCAAACTTAAAAGCAGTCCTCACCAATAACTTACAGACTCAAACCACCATCCTTTAGAAAACTCTTCCTTTTACATTCCCATAATCCTTTGCCAAGTAAGCCTGCATTTTTTAAAGATATCATTAGATACCATCTGTTCTGTCACGGTAGATCTTAGCAAATTTGCAACAGAAATCGCCATGGTTTAGATTTTTTCTCATGCTTCCCATATCCAGTTGGAAATAAAGTTACTGAATTAGTAAATGGTAATTAAACACTCCCAAGGAAACCTATCCCTGATTTGTCCAATAATCATTACCATTGTAATGACTGGAAAGAGGACAGTCATTGTTTGGGAACTTCTGTGGAAGAACTGACTTTCTAGGTCACATTGTTTTTCTTTTTCTTTTTCTCTTTTTCCTTCCTTCCTTCCTTCCTTCCTTCCTTCCTTCCTTCCTTCCTTCTTTCCTTCCATATTTCTTTCCTTTCTCTCCTTTTTTTCCCTCACATCTTAAAAAAAAACTGAGGAGGAAGTAAATGCTAAATTATTCATGAACCTCATTTGACAGCATATCAGAAGGGGAAGTGTCAGGGGTTGTATGGAGGCAGGGAGAAAAAAAAAAATAACAGGCTTTAACTTTGAAAAGCCATTTCCAGCGTCTGGGTAGTAGTGTACTGTGGGTCTGGAGTAGTGGGGTTCAGTGGATATAGCGTCATTAAAACTGCCTGCCAGAGACTTGCTTCCACGGGGTCTAACACTGGCAACTGCAAGGCGCTCGGGAAAGCACTCTTGCTTTTAATAATGTAGCTGTCAATTTGAAGCCTGAAAATGTTGGCCCTGAAAGGTTTATTGCCAAATTTAGATCTTATATTTACATTGAATTATTAGCTCTTAAATTGATTTTTGCCCCTACTTGCAGAGTATGCGGTATTCCTTATGCCTTAGGAAGGCATGTCGGTGGGTTGAAACTTGCAAATCATTTTTGAATCATCTTAGACATACTGCAGAACACCAATACCCGCTCTGGCCTCAGCAGCTGAGGGTCATCTCTTCAAGAGATGGAGCAATACTCTCTTTTTCTCTTTCTTCTCCTTTGTACTGGGGCATAGGGACTGGTAGATGTGTGGGAGTTCTGTGTCTCCGTTTAAGATTTGTTGATCCATTTCAATGGCAAGGTGTATTCGCCAGTGCGTGTGTTTGGGTGAGGAGGGGGTGTGGATAGGGCGACTGAATCTGCCTCATGCGTTTGCCTTGGGTACTGGATTTGATCGTGCTTTCCTTACTCGCCTTTCCTGTAAAATTGGCAGAGATGCCAGAGTTGCTTGTGTGAATTTGAACACAAAGGGAGAAATGAAATACCGCAAGAATGATAGGAAGTGCTTCACCGTGCACTGACTTTAGGTTCTGACTTCTTAACCTCGCAGGGCATCACACCTTGTTATTTTAACTTGCGTCTGGGAGAATGTCTGAGCCAGGAGACCTGAATCAGGCAGCAGTGGAGGAGGGCGGGACTGAACAGGAGTCTGCCACCCCGGAGAACGGCATTGTGAAATCTGAGAGTCTGGATGAAGAGGAGAAACTGGAACTGCAGGTGAGCTTGGAAACCCTTTCTGTCTGCCCAACTCGCACCACTGTGCTCAGTTCCTCTCTTTCATAAGCAGAATACTTTGAAGGTTTTCTTTTTTTTTTTTTCATTTGAGAGTTTGACTAGTAAATGAATAGGAAATCCATAAAGCTACTCCTCTCCTTTCCTAATTATTTATTACTTTTTTTTCTGACCAAAAGGTGCTCTAAAATGCCCTTTGAAATGAAAAAAATAACCAGAGATCGTGTTTAATGACTGAATTTGTGCACAGCATCTCCAGAGTGATTTCCAGGCCATCTCAAGGAGCTTGTGAAGGATTTCTTCCTGAGGCCGCTTTAGGCTAGCTGAGTTTTAAAAATGGATTTGCTATTCCAGGGAAAGCTGAAGTCCCAGTTTATGATAGACAAAGAAAAATCAAAGACCTGAGCTCTGTGGACCTCTGAGGGCAGGCAAAGTTTCAATTCATATTAGCAAACAAACTTAAGCCCTAGAATTCACAGCCAGAGAGAGAGGAAGCGAGACAGAGATAGAGAAAACCCTAGAAAAGGGCGGGTGGGGGGTATTGGGTGTGATTGACTGTACTGAAAAGGTGATATGATTAAATACACCATGATTTATGAGAGCAAGAGTGTTGGTAGAGGGAAAACAAACTGTACTTGCAAATAGCCTGTATTGATTTTTCTTTGACCCAAACTACAAAAGTGTTTGCTCTTTTTATATACCAGTGAACAAAGGCAGATAACCACATAATGGCCAAAAGCCTTCAAGGTCAGCTTCCCTGACGCCCCTCCCCCCATAGCTGCTGTAAGGAGAAGGAGCTAAAAGTTAAGAGGTCAAAAGTTTGGGGGAGAGAGGGAAGGGGAACCCTCCCCCAGTGCTTATAATATCTTATTGTTACTCTTGATTTCTGGACTCTAGTGACAACACCTCTCTCTCTCTCTCTCTCTCCCCCTCTCTCTCCTGTGTTGGTTTACTGTCTGTTTGTTTGTTTTACTTTGTTTCTAACATACAGAGGCGGCTGGCAGCTCAGAATCAGGAAAGAAGAAAATCCAAGGTAGGGTTCTGGAGATTACCCACTGACCTGATATCATGGATGTTAGTTGCATATTTCACATTGGGGTTAAACATGTTTGCCACGATTTCAAATGGTCATGTGTGGATCTTGGCTCTACTGGCCCTGTCCCCTTTTAATGGGGTCTTGTTGACACTTCTTGTCTCTCTTTCTAGCTCTGTATGTTTTTCAATTAGAGCATTTAGGGTTCCCATAGCCGCAAATGTATGTACCTGATCTTGTTTTCACAGTTGCAGATTTGACAGCGCTTTACAAAATGAGTAGCTGCTTGTTTTGCTTTCATTTTAAATAAAATCTGGGGTAGATGTTTTAGTCTCGCTAGTTGATTTCTCCCTTGAAGTGAGCAGGTGCTGGTGTTTAGGTCCCTTTCCTCATCTTCTTAAACATCTTTTCAATCCCATCTCTCCCTAACTCAGTTTTAGTAGAAATTAATTTCCGTCATCTTTTTCTCCTTACATTTTCACAAAGTGGCAGCAATTCATTTTTTTGTATGTTTCCAGTGTGGATGGGCACAGTTTTCTAAAAGTGCCCCTTAAATCCATGTATTCACATTCTCCTCCCCTGCATCCCCACCAACACAGGGCTCTGAATCTTGAAGCCAGTGTAGACAGACAGCACTGAGCAGCCAATTTGAAGCTCGGTTTTAGAAATCTGGTTTGGGAATGTCCTGGGAAGGTAGAGAGGAGTTGACAGCCGGAGAATGTTTTCTGTTTGTTGTCTTTATTTTCCTTGCCTTGCCTTTTTTTTCCCCTCCTCAGTCAGGAGCAGGAAAAGGTAAACTGACTCGCAGTCTTGCTGTCTGTGAAGAATCCTCAGCCAGGCCAGGAGGTGAAAGTCTTCAGGATCAGGTATACCCCCTGTCATTTTCATTAACTGCATGGATGGGATCTGTCTTTGTGTGCATGAGTAGAAATCTGGTATTACACAGTGTTTTGGGGGAGAAAAAAAATAAGCAAAGAAAGACATAGTTTCTGGTTTCATCCCCTGCTTATGAGACATTCTAAACTAGCTTAACAGTTTGTCACAGAGTATTACGTTTGTTTTTTTCCAGACTCTCTGAAAACTGCAAATGGAAAGGAATTCAAAAGAATTTAGATAAAAAACTTAAAAAGTAAGCACGGTAGTGCTGCATTTCCTCACAGCCTCTCTCTTGATAAGACTGAACCAAATATAGTCCTAAGTATCCTGTCTCCTTCCTTATTGGAGATTCTTACCTCTCACTTCCCCAAAATACACTTGCCTATAAGAAACACAACTCTTGGCTCTTAACGAAACTTTGGAAATAGTGAATAAGGTGCATTGAGCTTTGCAGACGTATTTTTATGGCCTTTGGTAGAGATGCTGAATACTGAAAAAAATTGTCCAGAAATGCATCTGAGGTGATGGTGAATTTCATATTATTAAATTTATATGAATTTAATATTATTATATATCGCTGTGGATCTTTCCACTTATTTTTGCTCCTTACAGGAAGACTATTAGGGTCTGAAAATTCGAATTCTGACAAAACCCTCCCGTGACCAAATGGGGACTTCATATTGTATTTATTTTTGTTTGCCTTTTAGGCATCATATTAGCTTTTATAAAAATAGTTTAGCAGCTGAAATTTTCCTTATTTTATCAGAGGCTGAGAGAAGTCGAGACAAAAGTAAAATGATTTATCTGAACCCAGGGGAGAGAAAATTGATTAAGATATCATTATTTTTGTTTGGGCTTGTTTGCTTTCCTCTTTTTACTTTAATTGAAATACTCTAAATTCTCCTCATGGATACAGAGAGCATTAAGAGCACTTTCTTTAAAAGGACCAAAAATAAATACCTTATAGATTTTGTCCTAAGAGTATTTTTTTTTCCCTAGCCTCATTTTCTTATCGTGCCACTCATGTCGTAAGGCATGGACAGGCTATCTTTCTCTAGCCATCACTATGTTTCATACACAAGCTTTATTTTACTTGGGCTCTGAGAAATGTGTGGCTTTTCTTCAGCATTTTATTTGTGCTTCTATTTTTAATGGAGACTGAAAAGGGGGACTAATGCAACTATCACGGCTTGTATTATTAAATGTTGATTGATGGCTTATAATGTACTGCACATGATATATGTTAACTCCGCGGAATGACAGACTCTGGGAGAAGTCATGCCCCAGTTGTCCCCCACTCCTAATACCAGGCAGAGGAGGACAGCCTTTATAGACCTAATCTGCTTTTCATCCCATTTGACAAGGTACCAGGAGGAAATTTTTTAAGAGATCATCTGTATCATAGTGCCCGTCCTGGACCTAAGTCTAGTTTCTCCATACAATTGTGCAGAGAAATAAGATGCAATCAGTGCTTTGTTCCTGCTGGTTTCAAGCTCAGTGACCAAGACTAGCCGTGTAGGAGAGAATTAGAACTTGTGCACCTCTCTTTGGGCTGGCTGAGGGGTGGTGGGAGCAGGCGTCCGATAGAAAATACCCAGACACACATATTAGCAAGTGGGCATGTGACTTGTTAGAGAATAAAGAAGCAGACCTTTGAGCTTATATGCAATGCCTTCATTAGGTACCACCGGCACTTACAAAATGTGGGAACTGAATCCCAGAGAACCCTGGCAGAAGTATACAGTATATGGATTGTATTGCTTCCCTAATATTTGTATATTCACAGTATTTGAAAACTGCCTTCATTTTCCTGTGTGGGAAAAACTCTTGCTACCTGTATTACTTGATCTCAGACCCATAGCTGATGGTTCAGTCTGTCCTTCAGTTAAAGGAGTTTTGCTTTTCTAATGTTATACTATTTACCTATCAGTGTATTACTGTGACTTGAATCATTCTTTTATTGTTGTTGGATATAAACTTATCCTGTACCAATGTATTTATTAACACTTGTATTTTATTATTGAGCATATCAATAAAAATATTAAAAAATAACAGATTGTTTTTTACCAACTCTATAGCACTTTTGTGTGTTCTTTCAACACCATAATGTATATTTATGTATAGAAAAGATAGGTATTTTTCTGAGAATACTATCTGTCCACACATGGCGTGAGTTTGTACTTTTTTTTTTTTTTTTTTTCTGGTGGAAGATGTCTTTTAGCCTCTGCTCGTATTTATGCTTCCTAGCCTCTTAGATTGTAGATTCAAATTGACAGAGGCTGGGTGATGCAAGAGGTTTTGAAGAAGCAATGAGACCACTCCGATGGCCTGGTGCCCTCAGTTTCCCCTCCTGATCAACTATTGAATTGATTCTTCCCCACCCCCAACTGTATTCTCTGAACCAGAAATGTTGCAGCTGTCTCCTTAGCAAGCAGAAGCAAATCAAAACCTTACAATCTGCCCGAACCTTTGCAGACTAAAGGCATTTCTGTCCCATATCACATGACAATAGAACCCATAATCAAGTTACACTCAGTTTTACATATTTTGCGTAAGTCTATCCCTAGGATAAACACGTGGATGTCAGGAAATCTGGCTAGGATAAAAATCTATCATGAGAACATGTTTTATTTTATCCTCTCTATCATATGTCTTTTCAGCCCTGGTGCCTTTTTATTCCAGCCAGGAGTTCACAGTGGAACCCCTCCTAAAAAGCAAACTTGATTTCGGGGGTCTTGTTTTATGCTTGTTAGATTAGCCAGGTTTACCAAGAACCCTAGGAATCCTAGGATGACCATAATTTGAGGAGGTTCAGGCATTGCTTTAGTCACATGTATAGGAACATTAGTTTAGTTTTTAGTGAGAAACACTATTAGTCATTGGGAATTTTTTTTTTTTTACATCATGAATTTTAATGTCACTAGTAGAAAAAAGCTTTCCCATCAAATGATCTCTTACATAAGAGAAAGCAGACTTAATGTTGGTTAATTTGTCATAGTTTTAATCATAGCATAGGTTTTTCATGAAACTTCTTAAAAAGTATGATTTGGCTCATTCTTCTTCAAAACAGTGAAGATACTATCAACCACATGGCTGATATGTGAGTTAAAACAATCTGTCTCCAGTGCAAAATAAATAAATATAAAAACGGATCCAGTCCCCATACAGTAAAGGGTCAGTACTGTGCCAAAGCATCAGTTCAAGAGAATTTTACATTTTGGAAAGAATTGACTGATAAAAAATTAAAATAATATTAAATATTTATATTTAATTGATGGGAAATATAGTTCTGCTTTCTAAAGGGCGATGCTGATTCTAACCATACATTATGATGACTTATTAATGGAGTTTATAAACAAGGTGTGATAATCATCCATACCTGGGATTCCTGCATTTAGATAGCTTGGTTTTTCTTAATAGTAGAAATCATTGTCGATGTGGTTCTAAAACAGACTTTTTATTGTAAATTGGCTATTAAGGCCTTTATGTCTGTTCTATCTGTAATTACGATTCGTAATACCTGTCTGTCTATGTTTGTGCAGATTTCTCCTTATAAGGAATTATAGAAAAGAACTCAGAAGGCTTTTTTTTTTCTTTTTTTGAGACATGGCAGTGGCCGTGACGCAAGCTTACTGATAAGGAAATGTTTCCTAAGTGTTTAAAAATAAACCTGTAGGGAAAATAAGAGGTATGATCTAGGGGAAGTAACTTGCTTAATGTTAATATTCATGAGGCCAAGTGTTAGTACTAGATGTTTCTCATGACCTCCCATTGACTTCTGAAGTTTAATTCACCTTAAAGGGCAATTATTTCTCTGACAGGTTTAATTTTTTTTTTACCATTTCAGAAAAAAAAAAAAATCTGCTCCTGGCTTTCATTTTCCTGTACTTAATAACCTCTATGCAAAATGGAAACCAGACAGAGATTCTTAAATCTGGCCCTAAATTATTATATTTTTTCCCCAACAGGAATCAATTCATTTACAGCTTTCCAGTTTTCCCAGCCTGCAAGAGGATGATAAATCTAGGAAAGATGACTCAGAAAGAGAAAAAGAAAAGGATAAAAACAAAGATAAAACCTCTGAAAAACCCAAGATCAGAATGTTATCAAAAGGTGAATGTGAACATGTTTCCTTAACTTACTGAATTTGGACAGATAAATAGTCACAGAGTACATCCTAGATTTACACACGTATTCACCTGCCACCAACGTCTGCATATACTTCTATATGTGTACATGTGTGTGTGTGTAAAAGATGTGAACTCTATTTCCTTTCTGTTCATGGTGTCATTTTTTGTGTATCCAGAAAGGTTAATTTTAGGATCACTTATCTCTTTGGATTTTCATTTGGGTCTTCTGTTTTCGATGATAAGTTTGTACAAATGACTGAGTATAAATCTGCTCTTAATTCAGGTTTATTAATCCAATTAACTTGGGCTGATGAACAGTAATGATACCCAGTTCTATATCTCAACTTCTATGTTTATCTTAAAAGACAGACAATAGATTAGCAATTCACAGCAGGTAAGTGATGTCGTCCCCAAAGCACAGACGTATATACATCAGTGTCAATGGACTACGTGATTAACATTGTATCTGCCACAAATGTATTTGGTCTCTGCAACCCACATGACCGCCACATCATGTCTGACCTAAAAAAATATACACTTCTACTCCAATAGTAAAAAAAAAAGCTATACCTTCTAAAACCCCAAGCCCATAGTCCAGACTTTTCAAATTGTGGCCATACATACAACTGTACAAAAATAAAACCAAAAAAAGGAAACAAAAGTTAAAATAAAACTAAGTTAAGTTGAAATGAAGAATACCGTGAATAAATAGCTTTGCAGTAGACATTTTTTTTTTTTTTTTTAAATAACCGAGAAAGAACAGGGCATCCAATCAGCTGAGGAATGATGACTGCTTATATTATGCCCTGTAACAATGTATCTGCTTATAATGATTATCTCTGCTACTGAATGTCTAAAACGCAAGGTGTGACAGGAGTAAAGAAGTGCAGGTTCCTAAGATGACTTTAGGAATTAAGCTTTAGCCAGCATCAGAAGATTTGAAAGACTTGGAAATGTTTAGTGCCCTCCTGTGTTTTGTACTGATGAATATTTAGACGGTCTCATCACAGAACTTTCATTTTTGCCTTCTCTGTTTGAAGAGAAAAAAGGAATCTGAAACTCTTGAAAACTCTCTCTGTGGGTTGGTAGTAACTGTCACGTGGAGGCCCTGGCCTTGCTGATTGACGGCAAGGCATGAACACGTGACATTTCACCCCACCCACCTCCTGCCCGACTGTGCCCGCATCCCCTCCTGTGACAGCCGGATCTTTCCACACTCAGGATCTACTGGGTTCCTCCATCTCGAATCTGGTTTTCATTCTGGTGTTACGCTGCCAATTTGCTAGTTTCGAAACATGTACCTTCACGCCAATAGCTTCACCTAAAATTTACCCAGCAGGAGGGAAACCTTTTTCACCCTCCCTTCCCCATCAGCATTCCTGACAATTTCCTCCTGCTATTTGTTTCAGATTGCAGCCAAGAATACACGGATTCTACTGGCATAGACTTACATGAGTTTCTGATTAACACATTAAAGAATAATTCCAGGTAAATTATTAAATAAACCTCTTATTTTTTAAAAGAGTAAAGTAGAATATTGTGAAGTCATGAGTCCAAGCATTTCTAAGTAGAGTTGTAAAATGCAGGCACCTTTTCTAATGTCCTAAGCTATCTCTTATATTTTCTCTTTTCTGTTTGCATGTTTACTATGTATAGATAGTCTTAATTCCTGGGTAGTTACTCAATGAGTAAATTATAGTTTACAAGTTCTGCTTTCCTGGTCACAAAGAGATACTGATTAAGGGGAAAAGATAGAGAATGAAAGTCAGTGTTAAATAAATTGATTATGCTCTACTGCAGTTCTATAACTATTTACTTGGGCTTTGCTTTGCTCCAGTTTCCTATTAATTTAAAATATACAATGTATTTGATGTGTCTTATGGGTTTAACACCTTACATGTCTTAATTAACATTAAAACTGCAGAAGTTTCAATATTACAAAATACTTAACAAATGAGATGAGAAATATCTTCAGTAGGATGAAACCACATGCATATGGACAGCATATTCTAGAGAAGAGTTAGGTAAAGATTTATAGTCACATCAACTTAACCAATCTTTTTCAGGCATGCAAATGAACTTTTTAGGTCTTTGGGAATGGCAAGTGCCTCAAACCTTTTCATTTTAACATTTATTTTGCAGGGACAGGATGATACTCTTGAAAATGGAGCAGGAAATTATTGATTTCATTGGTGACAACAAGTATGTTATATTGCAGTGCTGATTAATTTATATGATGTGCTTAGTTTGGTATTTGGGTTTAATTATTCATTCTGGAAAGATTTAGGGATAGATAAAACATTATTTAATATGTTTGCCGATTTGTTAAATGGAGACGCTATTAGGATTAGAAGCTATATATTGATGGGAATTGTTGCTTGGACCACGTGTGCTTCTGCTTGTTAAATTCCTGACAAAATGGCTATAAACGGGGGGCCGCTGATTAGCATAGAGTAGCTGTGACAAGAAGCAACCCTTTTCATTTTTATTATAGTTTTTTAATGGGCTCCAGATGGCTGCAGTCGGTTATGCCTGGTCATAACTGTGCTGCTTTCAGTGTAAACCGTGTAATGACATATCTCCAGATAGGCATCTGCAGTCACATACTATGTCATATCATTTGTCCCAAGCCTGGCTCCGTTCATGAGGTATCATGGACCAAAATAGAATACTTTCCAAAAGACATTAAGTTCTCTTTGCTGCGAGAAATGTGCAACTATGAAACAAAGATACTTAGTGTAGCTTAATCAATAAATCCATAATAAATGGAAAATTGTCTGGAAATGAGGACATGAAGTGTGATGCCAGAGATGAAATAAGCTGTGTGCTTTGGATGAAAAATGAATGGTTTTGTGTGTGTACTTATAGAATGTCCTATAGGCCAGAAACACAAATGTTGATCCCACTGTTTCTTGTATTCCTTTCCAGCAATCATTATAAAAAGTTCCCTCAGATGTCATCCTATCAGAGGATGCTTGTCCATCGGGTGGCAGCTTACTTTGGGTTGGATCACAATGTGGATCAAACAGGGAAATCTGTTATCATCAACAAGACCAGCAACACAAGAATGTAAGCCCATCACTGCATTTATTTAGCATTTTCTTTTTCTCTTATGGATTCGTTTATAAGAGCATGATATAAAATTCAAAGTACATGACATTTAAAATGTGCAGTGTTATTTATCTCTTGCACTTGGCAGCGGTGTGTGGCATTTATCTGCAGAAGATTATCTGAGGACCGGGAAAGTTTATAAAATCTGGGCAGTAAAGTGGGTTTATTCCCAGAATTTTACATAGCTCCTAAAACATAATTGTCTTTCTTCCATCAATACTCCATGTGATTACAGAAAAAAGCATGGGACATTTTATGTCAAAGTATAACTCAAATTCAAAAAACAGACATTTTAAAACAGCAATGACATATGCAGGATAATTGTCCTTTTCTTTCCTTTTCTGGTTTGTAGACCTCTGTCTTATTATGGTTTCTAGAGTAACAAAAAGTTCTGCACCCAGAGAGGGAAATCCTGCACCTTAAGTCCCATTTTTTTACTTACTAGCTGTGTGACTTGAAACAAGTCAGTTAAAATCTGTCATCTCGTTTTTTTTTTTTCCACCTGTAAAAGGAGAATTATCTAAGTTCTAGCTTTAAAAGGAAGGTGTTTTATTTGTTTTTGCTCCTTAAAATAATTGTTTGCTTCTATCTTAATATCTTTTCACGTCCTGTTGAGTCACCAAAAGCATAGGATGAGTAGTCATTTGCTTTGGAGATTTGGACCTGGCTCTCTTAAAGGCATGTATGTTTTAAGCACAGTGCAAAGCCACTTTTATAGCAAATATATGTTATCTTAAAACATTTGTGCACTGTAATTTCTTTTTTCACAGTGTGCCTTGTCAATTGTGTGAATTGCATGGATTTTAGGGAGCTAGCGAAGGGAGCGTTCATGTCTAGCAGAATGGCGTGTTTCAAACACTCTATTTTCTGCTCACCCGAGGCTGGACAAGTAGGGCTAGAGATGAGGCTCTTTCTCTCCTCAAGGCTCAGTCTGTGTTCAGCAGAACGAGAGTGAAGGTCGAGAACACAAACTGAGAGATCTCGGATGGAGCTGGGCTATTATCTCAGAGACAACGAGCTCTTCGCTTCTCTGGGCTTCCAATTACTTATTTATCTGCAGGAGAGTTTGAAGTGGATGGTATTTAAGGGCCCTCAAAGCTTCGGAATTATTGGGTCCTATGGTTGCATTCTACTGTGCTGGCAAAATACATTTTAAAATTTATCAGCTTTCCACTTTATCTGATTGCTGGCACATGCACCTCCTTTTTCAACTGTCACAGGAATGAAAGATCACTGTCCTTTAAACATTTATACGTCCCCTCTCCATCAAGCATTCCTCATTGTTGCTGTTGTTGGTTTTCATTCTCCATTCTGGTTTCTTTTATGACTTTCAGATACTGTAAGTGCAGGGACACACTGGTTGCACAATAGGCCAGCAATGGACAATTTTTTTTCATTTGTTTTTCTCCTCTTTTTCTCTTTAGGTCATAACAGACATAGAAAAACCCATAGATCAAGCCTGTTGTTTGATACAGGCTCAACTAGCAGAGATAGTGTGTTGATTTTTAATTCACATTGATTTTGCAATCACATGGTCATGATATTAGGGTACATGTTTGGTACCTGTTTCTGGGTAGAGTGGTTTTTGAGAAAATTAAGCACCATGTAAAGACTCTCAGTAAACTTTGAGTGATGGTCCTAAACTTGCAATGTCCAGGATGGTAGCTACTAGCTACATACAGCTATTTACATTTCGATTTAAATTAGTTCAAATTAAATAAGATTTAAGCTTCAAAATTCAGTTCCTTGGTCAGGCTAGCCACATTTCAAGTGCTCATATGAGACAGAACATACATGGAATATTGCCATGATTTCAGAAAGTTCTGTTGAGCAGCTCTTGTCTGAACTTGTGTGATTCTTACAAGTTTCCAAATACCACTGGATATAATCTGTCCCTTAAAACTTTCATTTTCTGGCTAATAAGTATCATATTATCATTTTATTAGACTTCACTTCCAGAAGAACACTAGTTTGTTTTGTTTTGTTTTTTTTCTCCCCCAAATAGCCAATTTTGAATAGACGCCTCCGGTTTATGCCTTCCGGAAGAGCAAAAGAGGACACGTGCAGAGAACACTTCCAGTGTAGTTGCTACGATGGAAGGGCCTGGACTGGCTCAGTCTCTACCCCGTGCCTGTCCTTGCACACACCCTCTAGCCCTGCTCTGTGAGTCAGTCTGTGCCTAAACAAAAAAGGCAAATGACTGTAAAGCATGGACTTTTAAGGCATTTCCTGACGAGCTGAGCTTACTAATGTTCAACCCAGAGCTGTCAAGTCGTGCTGTTCTATTCCAGCCACCTTTCCAACCGTCCTCTATTTGAGTGGCTGTTGTCTGGGGAAGGGGGCGAGGGGGTGCTGATATCTTTCAGGACAAGAGAAAGGGATGAATTAAATGTCATTTGTCAAATAGTAATAAGTCACCCCCTCAGAATGAGAATCACTGTTGGCAAAGAATCAGCATTAGCAAAGAAGCATTGTTGTTCTGTAGAAAGTTGTATGTTTAAAAGTTTAAATGGAACATTCTGTTCAGAACATTTTGTTTAAGTGTTGGGTGTCTTGATTTTCTTTGGTCTTCCAAAAACTTCAAGAGTTGCTCTCTCAAGGCAAATGGCATGTGATGGTCGTGGGGACCACAGTAAAAGATATATTGTAATAGATATATTATTGGATGGAAATGTTTCCATTTATATTAAGGAGGGAGGAAGAGATGGAAATTCCTCAGATGACTCCTTGTGGATTTTGTGTTTTGGGAATACCTTTGCAGGGGATACAGTTTGATGCTACTTTAGTGCAAATACATGAAGGTGCATATTTTAAATGGCACCGTAGCTTGGGAGAAATGTTGAAAAGTGCAGATGGAGGACACAAAAATGAACTAAAGGGCTGACAGAGAGAAAGCACGTTTTAATATAATTTTTAATTTTTCTTCTTCAATGACACTGATCCTCTGACGTGGATGCCTTTCAGCAACAAAATGGCTGGAATTTGTTTCCCAGAATCCTTGCTTTTCTAGATTATAAGCAGTTCAAGTAATTATACAATGTGGCTTGAGAATATTAAGTTTTGCCCAGAGAGAGAATAGTTTCACATGAAGTTCAAAACATTTACTCATGACAGTACACTGTGAGGATTATATTTGTGTGTGTATGTACTTTACTTTCCTCTAGTATCTTCTGTAATATCCTGAGATAAAATATAGCTGTCTTTCATGATGGAAAAAATTTGTCTGAGGACTGACTTTTCAGTTATTTAAGTGATATAAGAGCATTACCTACTTATTATTCATTGCATTGGATACTTTACCTCTTATTTCATGTATATTATTCCATTTAATCCTGAAAACATATTTACAGCCTAAGTAATTAGAGCCTTATTTTACAGAAGCAGAAAACGAGGCACACACTCAGGTTCAATTTTGGGCCTACAGAGAAGCAATGATTAGCATGGCTGGGATCCAAGTCAGTTTGTTAAATGCTAAGAACAATTTTCTTAAATAATCTAACTGTCTTAGAGCAAAAACACCCAGAACATCTTAGGCAAAATCCTCAACAAGATTCCCTGGATTGGTGGGGAATTCCACCTCTTTGAAGTCTTTTGCTATCTGATAAGAAACAATGAACGGGCCCGGGGGGAAGGGAAGATATTTTTGAAGATGAACTCAGTGGTATCAGTAAATAACGTATACTTCCCACAATTTGATAGTTCTTCTTACATTCTCTGTGTTTATCACTACTGCAAGATGTGATATTTGGTTGGGGGATGATATTGATTCAATTTCAACCTTGCTTTACTCTACTTCCATCTTTTTCCCCCCTAAAAATGAAAAAAGCTATACTTAACAATAATATCAGTGTAGGAGGTAAACCTACCTATTGTATTATTATGAAATTACTGCTTCAGGCAACCTAATTGTCTAAATCCATGGTTTCATGCCAGAGCCACAAGAGCGTGGGGTGGGGTTGAAGGATACAGTAGTCCAGAGAGAGTAGGAAATGCCAGCCATGCTCATGTGGGAGACATTCCAAGAAAGTGCCTTCCTCTGAGCAAACCTGGGTACTTCAGAGTGTTGACAAGGAAGTCACCTGACCCTCCAGCACCGCTGGAGCTAGCCGGGGTAAGAACAGGTGAGTATGTGTCACCTGGAGCCTCCCAGCACACCTATTGGTTCACAAATTGGGTCTGAGTAGTTGGGGATGCTCCTCATTAAAATTCACTGCCTTTTGTTGAAATGACAAATGGCGTTTTTGAGCTGAGACTCACCCTGGTATGTTCTATCACCTTTAGTTTATCCCTCTTTCCCCCATATGTTGCCAGAAATATGTTTCACTCTGTAGCACTTTTAAGTTTTTTTCTGTTGGGATTCTTTGTTAACTGTCAGATTAGGTGGTAGCACCAAATGAACCCCTTGGGAATCTGGGTAGGGGGTGTTAAGGTCTGTGTTATTTGGGTACTGCAAGTGATATTTAAAATGTACTTACTCTCTATACTGTTGTTTTTTTTTTTTTTTTAGGACTGAGGCTAAAAATATGAACATGATTTTATAAAAAATATTTAAATGCTACAAATATATGTGTCTATTTTTATATGAGAAACTTTGCCCTTCTCTTTGTCTGCCTTTCCGATCTCCACACTGTCTTTTGCTTACTTTTCTAGGTGTTTAGCCCAAAGCAGCCCGCTGTTCTTTTATTAGATGATTTTTTTTTTTTTACCTCTATCTGCCTTTCTCCATCTTAGAGAAAGGATATATGCTCAGGTTGTATCATTTGGAGGCTTGAAACCATCCCCTTGCATTAATGTTTTCCAAAGGGCCAAGATCAGTCATAGGGAAAGAGAGTCCCATGTGTATCTGAATGTCTTTGCAAATGTCAGAGTAACTGTTTAACTAGTCCCAGATAATTGTCATGTTAGAAGGTTGTCATCTCTTGAATATTTTTTCTTTTGACTTTGGCACCCGCCCACAG